TCCATGATTCCTGTGCCTTGCTGAGCTGCCGTGTCCTACACAGCTTGTGGCTGGAAGTGAAGGTCAGCACAAGTGGGTTCAATTGCAAATAACAGCTTAGAGATCAAGACCTTTGTTGTCTGATCTTTCCCAGGCAAAGCATGTCCAAAAGTGCCATGACAGGAGGCAGTTGAAGGGTGAGACCTGCCGTGTGCACAGCAATAGTGAAACATTTTTCTGTGGCAATGTCATTATCTTGAACTTTTGCAGAAAAGAAAAAAAAAGCAAGGTTTATCTCTAACTGTCCATCAAGAGCTGTATCTGATGAGAAGTTCCCAGAACATTTTCTCCTCTAAACCAGCTGAAGCTACACAGACCCAAGCAGTGAAGAGAGAAAGATTCAGAGATGAGCTTGCCTCTCCTTCCTGTGAGCTCAGGCCATTCTGGGAGGAGTGAGACAGGGAGGTCAGGAAATTCCTGGCTTCTCTCAGTTCACGTCAGATCCTCAGCTGTATCTTGGGGCCATTCATCCCTTCCATGAGTTATCCCTGTCTAGTGTGCAGGAAACAGTTTCCTAGTGATCTCTGAGTGCAGAGGTGAGGCCCATCACCCCACGGATCCGGGGAGGTTTAACCCTTGCGCCCTCGGATTCCCTGACAACTCCCCCAGGGACATCCCTGGGAAGACGTGGCGCTTCCGTGCTGGCTGCCATTCCATATATTCATACTAGCAACCAGACCCTCTGGAGAAATCCACATAAATTAAGGTAGGACAGATCTAATATCCCAGGAGGGACTGTTGGGTAGTAGCCTAGTAGGCAGGAGTGTCCATGGCCTTTCTCTTCCTCAGTGGAGAATTCCAGTGCTGGAATCATACGGGGAAGTGGGTTGGGTTGTGATCCAGCAATCAGAATGTCCATCATGGAAGACTACAGTGTGATTGAGGGCCCTGGAAGAGATTAGTAGGAGAGATAGTGATAATTTAGTCTTTCAGCAGGTATTTTTTAAGCATTTTTTTTAATACTCTGGAAAAATCTGCTCATTAGTCCTTTAAAAACTACAAGACACGTGAGGTGCAGAGCGGGCTGTGAGACAAAGAGATGGAGCTGAATGGCAAGGGTTTGAGAGTGAGCTGAGGAAAAGGCAGGGGCCTGGTGGGAGTCACTGATGTGTTGACGTGGCTTCCTGGGCACAAAAACGTGGCTGGTTTCCGCAGCAGGGCCACAGTGAGGCCCACCCGTGTCAGCTGGCTGTCCTGCTAACCAGCAGGAGCGTCCCCCATGGGTACAGAGATGAAAATCAGGAGTAGTTCCACTGATGTCAGTGTGACCACGTTACTGGAAACTGATGGGATCACAGTGCTGAGCCCACAGAGCCGCCTCCGCAGAGCCAGCGAGGTCGGGAGGGGAACCGGAGACTGGAGTGTCCAACCAACCTGCTCAAAGCACGGGAGGGGAACAGGACTCCACAACCTCCCTGGACAACTTGTGCCAGTCTTTGGTTGCTCTCATGGTAAAAAAAAAATAAGTTCGTCCTCATTTTTAAATAAAATTTCTTGTATTTCCCTGGAAGTGTCCATGGCCAAGTTGGACGGGGCTTGGAGAAACCTGGGCTAGTGGAAGATGTCCCTGCCCATGGCAGGGGTTGGGACTGGATGAGCTTTAAGGTCCCTTCCCACCCAAACCAGTCTGTGATTCCATGATTCTGTGATTCAGTTTGTGTCCATCTCCTGTCCTTTCACTGACACTGTGATGTGTCCTGTGAACTTTGATTTTCACTGTGCTTGGGGAGCATGGAGCAGCCAGCTGTCAGGGAGCAGGTGGGAATCACTGCCCTCACCAGCCCACACCTCCGCTCTTAGGGGATCAATTTAAAGAGTCACTGGCTTGATTTTTGAAGTGTCAGGAGTTTGCTGTGCTGTTGAGTCAGTGGTAGCTGCAGTTGAAATCACAGGATGCCTCAGGCACTGGGTCACTGTCATCCTGGTGAGAGTCCCCTGCACAAACTGTGTGTTGCCCTCACACCTGAGGGTCGCTCTGCCTTTTTTCAGCAGTTAAATCTTGTATCTCAGTCCTTATTCTTCCAGCTTGCTCGATGGAACTGCACTTCTTTTGACATGAATGTGCTTCTGAATTTGTCGGGGTAGTTACAAGGTACCAAACAAAACCCTCCATGTCCTGGACAAAGGGAACATTTCTGAGGGCAGAAAATTTGCCAAGTGCCAAACCTCAGCATGGGGCAGGCTGGGGACAAAGAGGGACACAGCCGAATGCTCTTGTGCAATTTTAGCTGCTCTGCATAAGGATGCCCTGGGAAGCAAAAACCACATCAGGACAGGAGAGCTGTAAATTTGCCTCGATTTATGCTGGGAATTTTCAGCTGGAATACTTGGGGACACTGGGGATTGCAAACTGGGTCCTGATTGTGTCTATCTAAGAATAGCAGTGTGGCTGTGGTCTGCTCATGCTGTTTGGTCCACCAGTCTGCCTTGGGAAGGCTTTAATCTAAGTCTAATCTATTTTTAGCCTGATATCTCCTCCAGACAACTCGCAGCTGTCCTGAGCTCTATGCCAGAAATTAGTAACACTTGTATGATTCACAAGTGAGCTGCGGTTCTACAGAAGAATTCCTTCTACAAAGTGTTACTTTTTTACACGTACTGTAAACCAGGAGATTCAAAGCCACTGTGTGTTCGTGGTATGACCCAGACCCTGAACTCCTCCTGGGACTCAGAGTCAGGAGGTTATGGATCTGTTCCTGCGTTTGCTACTTGATCTGGACTCGTCCCACCTGTCAGCATGGTCCCTGTGCAGGGTGGGCATGCAAGAGCCTGCACCTTGTCCTACCTGCTTTTACAGCAGCTGGCTCATCCCTGGAACTGGGGTTGTGTAAGAGGAAAAGCAGCCTTCCCGCAGTGCAGGCTCTGCCGTCAGTTATTCAACTCAAGCATCCCAGCGCATGGGAAAAATTAGAACTAATCAACTTCTGGAGGCTTTGATTGTATGTTTAGTCAATGGGAGGGATTTCCTGCTTCTCACCACACCGTTGAAGAGGTTTACTTTCTGGTTCAAGTCAAATAAACATACATAGAATCTGACTTAATCTCATTTAGAGCGATGTTTCTGACGAAGAAGCTGGAGTGTTTGGTTAAGGATGGGAGCTGAAGTTGGACATGGGGTCTGTTCCTGGCTCCAAGTTCCTCCATGAACTTGTAGCTGGGCAGGGACAGGCCAGGGCATGTTGTCTTTCGTGAAATACCTCTCCCTGTTGACATTTGATTCACTCAGTAGATGAACAGTGCTTGTCTAGAGCCCTCGATGGCTTCCATGGATGTTTTCAGTCCTCATCACAGGTTCCTGTGAGGTGCTCGTGCTGCCTGTGGTTAAGGGCAGGAAAACTGGGGAGAGTTGGAGTGTGGGCAGCTGCTCGTGGCCTCAAAAGTATCCCATCTGTGCAGAAAATTTGGGAGGAATGGCAAAGGGGTCAAATCTTCATGGAGGAGCTGTCTGGGGAAGATCTGTTCCTCACTAGAGGAAATAAAAGCACCAGGTCTTGCTAATGCTGTTCAGGCTAAAATAGGAGAGCTGCCTCATCCAGGTGACTGGGGCTGGGAGACTGGGAATCATCACCCTGCTTTGTTGTGTGGCCAGCAGGACAGGGACAAACCCTGCAGCTGTGTTAGCACTGCAGAGGCTCTGGATGCAGCTTTTCCTCCTCTGGGCCCTTTCCTTCAAGAAAAGGAAGCAGACAGGTTAAAACCATGCCAGGGAGGGGAAATTAAATATCTGCCTAAAATGCCCTTTGGAGCAGCTGGATATCAGGTGAGGAGCTGCAGCACAGATCCACTCATCCCCCTGTCCCTGGGCAGCGTCGGGAGCTCTGTCAGCCTGAGTGTGTGCAGGGTGAGGGAGAACCTGCCCAGCCCACTTTGGCACATTCTTGTTTTCTCTGTTTTTAAGGAAAGGAAATTGTACTTTTTGCATTAAGCAATATTGTGTTGCTCATCATGAAGAGGAGGGGAGAGGGGAAGAAAAACAATTTGAAACAGTCTAGAGAGGCGAAGGGGGGTTGCTTCAAAGTCTTTTGCTGTTAATCCCTAATCAGAACTGTTTCACACATTAGAGAGCCCATTGCTATGCAGAGATTGCCGAAGCCTCAAGGTCAGAGGGAAAGCAAGCCCTGGTGACGTGAGTGGGGAATTCTATAATGACCACATCTTGTAATCTGAAGACCTTGTGCTCATCCCTTGTATTCATCCTGGAATAGCTCTTCTTTAACTCCTTGTGCTTGCCCTGCCTCAGTTTCAGGATTCCTCGTGTTTTACAGTGACACTGGAGGGAGGGACTCCTGCTCTGGCGCAGGAATTTGGTTAGCACTCCTTTCCCTCTCCATTCACCTCGCTGTCATCCAAGTGAACTTTGTTTTGGAGGCGAAGCTCTGTGCTATGGTGTGTCCCTTCAGCTCAGCTCCAGTGAGAGAGGTCACATTGCCAGACTGTGCTTCGTCCCTTCTGGGTGGGCAACAACACACGTTGCTCTCAGCGGCCCCAGATTATTATTGTAAAAATGCAAATATGTGACATGATAAGGAGGATAAGTGAGTTTGTCCCCTGGCACAGCCAACACTTCAGCTGTCGTCCTGGCTGTCCATCTCCCTGTGGTCTGTCTGAAGTGCCTGTTCCATTGACTCATTTATATTCTCACATAGACTTATCTGTGTTTTTTAACCTCTTGGTTTGTAGGCTCAGAAGATTCTTGGGGGAGGTTTGTGTCTTTCTAGAGGGAAGTTAAACCTTCTGGAAAAAAGCTTGCTTGGCTTAGTTATTTTTCACAAAGTCACAGGTAGTTTCAAAGTCTGAGATTGATCAGCTTGTGCTGAATTCCCTGATGTACAGAGGGACTGTGTGTCTCCTCCTTACAGGCTGTGACCACAGATTTGACCTAAGTGCCCCCCTTCTTTTCCATATGCTCCTGAATACCTGAGGTTGGTGGAAAAGCCAGTACCCTATCAGCTATTATATTCCTCAAAGACCTCCTTGCTGCTGCTATTTTCTGTTGGCAGTGAGAAGATGGGTCCTGTTCATGTGCCACCAAACCCATTCCCTGTGCCTGAAGCTGAACCTGTTGCTTGCACAACTCTCACAGTCCCACCAGTTCCATCCAGTACTCCAGTTTTGATTCCTTGCCTAATTGCTTTTCTGGAGAACAGGATCACACTGAGCCAAGCCAAGAGGATCCAGGCACACACATGGCAGTTTTGGAAGCTTTACTTTTTGACTTATGTAGCAGGAGCCTGCTCCGTGAGAATGATCCCTGTTTCTGATGGTTCTTGCAGATAAACCTCCTGAACCTTGCCTTTAGCCAGGAAGAGGTAACAGGACCTGAGAAGAAAAGGAAGGTCAGTGAACCAGAGAAGCTGCCTCTGAACAGCAGGAAATTATGTTCATTCTGACACAGAATACATTTTGGAAGGTGTGAGTTTGCACTGTCATCTGACTGGTGCAGACCTTTCCTTCTCCCAGTGTTTAACCCTTCCGCGTGCCCTGTGTATTTGTGAATGTTTGTCTTGTGAAAACTCTGGATTGCAGAGAGACAACAAGCCCCAGAATTGTCATGGCATTGTCAACAACCAGCCCTTGTTTGATGTTCTAAAGTTGAGGATTTATAATTCTGTGCCAGTGGTGTCTGTGTGCTTCTTTCTGCCTCCTTCCCTCACACCTCCCACCTCTCACTGGCTAAATTCTCTCCTCTGGGGCTGGTGTGTCCTGTGCCACTCTGTCACCCGTGTTGAATGGCACTATTTCAAGATGAACTCTGAGGTGTCAGTGCCAGAGAGCACCAAGTCTCATGATCCACTAGATTGTGCTTAACTCCATCCTATCTGCTGTTTCCGGAGCATAGATTTTTATTTCAAAGAAGGGGTGTTATCTATATTGAGTAAAGAGATAAACCAATCTATACACATTTTCTACTGGTGCTGGATGGCTTTTTTTCTAACTCTGCAAGTAGTGTTGCCATGGCTGTATTATCAGCTCATTTCTAAACCAGCAGCCCACCATGTCCGAGGGGCTCAGGCAGCTGTGTGATGTTAATTCTGGTGCAATACACCCCGTTTAAAACCAGCTGGCATAAAGATCCCTTGTGTCTGCAAATACAGGTAAGGAGAACAGCACCTGGCAGGTATCTGACAAGCATCCAGGGCATCTGAGTGAAGGACCTTGGCCACCAGGGCCCTCACTTGGCACACCACGTTCCCTGTCACCAGTAACACGGTGATGTTGTCCGCTGTGGCACCACTCAGGCCCTCAGACGTGAGGGCTCTTCCCTACTGCTGGAACAGTGGTCTTTCCATGTCTAAAGTTACCAGGAGCTGGGATTGACACATCTCTCTTCTGCTCTTACTCTGCTTGGCCAGAATGAGGTGAAAGCCCAGCTGGACCTGGCTGACTGAGCAGAGGTAATGCCCAGACTGAGCCCCCTGAGATTCCTGCTGCCCTCCTCCAGGTAGCCAAGTGATGGATTGTGATCCTAATCCCACAGCGGTCTCCCTGAAGCCCCTGGCAGACAGACCCCCTGCCCATCCCTGAGCCCCCAACAGTGTCTGGCAGTTTTCCTGGCCTGATGCCTATTTCACAAAACCTGCAGAAGATGGGAATTTTCCATTTTATCCTCACTTTCTCTCCCGTGCTCTCCTTTTTGCACCTATGGCCTAATAAGCCAGTTTGTTCACATGCCAGAGCGAGCTAGAAACCTTCTTTGTGCCCGGGCTTTGTGACAATGTTTGCTCTCAGGGCTGCACACCCACGAGTGACCCCTGCTCTGCACGGGACAGCTCCGGGCCTGCCGTCAGCTCCCGGCTCTGCCCTGGCACCGCTGGGCTCTGGTGCCACATCCCTGCAGCCCCGACCCCTGCCTGCACTGCGGGCCCTGTGGTGTCATTGCATCCTGCCTGGGGATACTCAAACGTGGCTGGGATTTCAGCTGCTCCAACAAGGTTTTCTTCCTCCTCTACACACGACACCCAAGGCTGGGGGGCACTGGAACCTGCCCGGTGCAGACAGGGAGATGCCAAGTGCCCTGCCCCCAGTGAAAGCACAGCGAGGTGTCTCTGTGGGAGCACACACAGCCCCCACAAGGTGCACACATGACTCAGTGGAGCACACGGTGCCCTGCTCCTGTGGCCATGGCCGGGGCTCACTGTCTCAGCTCACACTGGGTTCTAATCAGGTATTTTACGGTAATGACTTTTAGTCATTTTCATTTCAGGCTTGGTTAGAAGTAAAGTAAGTGGTGATGAACTGCAGCAGTAAGCGTCTGATTTTCTTTCCCACAAACTTGTGGTTACCATCAGATTCTAAGAAAAGTCTTTCCACTGCAGATTGGAATCATCTAAGTCACTTACACATATCCTTTTATTTATTAGCGATTCTGCTTGGCTGGCTAAAGGTGAAAAAACCCTTTTTCTTGTGTTTCAGTCGCATTTCTAGTTAATACTCATTAACTGACTTAATGTATGTTACACATCATCAACCTGATTCACTACTGACATAAAACAGAAGCAATTCGTTAGTAACGGTCCCCTGCCAATTAGTGAACTAAATTACGTTTGAACAATTTTCTTCAAAGATTCTCCTCCTCCCCTCATGCATCATTTGGCAAGTCCCCTGCATGCTTACAGTAATTGTGTGCGTGCAGTGAAAGGAGACTGGTACCTCTTCAACCCAAATAAATGAATATGTGATCCTGGCGCTAATGTGAGTAATACAAAGAACCCCAGCCACCCTCCCTTTGATCGCCCAAAGATCCCAACAGCAATTAAGATTAGGAACCGCTTAAGACCCCAGAATATTGGGAACATTCTTGAAGGAAAAAATGAATGCTCCGCGGGGTTTTTCAGAAAATCAGTGAAGAAGGGGAAGCCGTTCTCGCCTGTCGCGCCCACGGGCTCTTTGATAGCTTTGATGTGGATATCCCCAACCTGCCGAACCACAGGCAGGTCGGCCGTGCTTCTGGAAATCCTTCCTTGTTTCTGGGATGGTGTTTAACAAGAAGAGGTCTCTCTGCTTCAAACTGAAAGTCAAACTGAAGTCAAACGGAAAAGGCATCGTCTCAACCACATCCTTAAATGCACTGTCCTCGACAAGAAAATAACCCCAGCCCCTGGTGCTGCGCGGGAAGCGGATGGACAGGTGTCAACATTTGTTTTTCACCTGAAAACAGGATTCTTTTGGGATTTCCAGTGCTGCGTGTGATCTAGGAAGTCATCTGATCTGATTGCTGCTGCTGTTTCGGTTTTGGAAGGATGGCAGAGAGGAGAAATGAAACATGACACAGGAGCAGGAGAAACAAAGATGATTTCGTGCTTAAAACAGGGGAGTTTTGTCATTGATTCCAGTGGAGTGTGGAGGGGCCTCTATCCATGGTGGTGAAACAAAAATCACTGTAACACTGTCCCAGTGAGCTGAGTGATAATTTTTTTTCCCTCCAATGGATTTTGGAAGCGATACCAGTGAAATGCCTTGGCTATACCTTGTTCTAAAGGTGATTAGAAATCAGCCAGTGCTTTCATGAGTGTAATTCCAATCATTAATCTTTTACCTGAGGGGCTGTTCCGTGAGATTACCATCTCAGGATTTTGGCTGGGACTCTAATTTTTGTAGGTTCTGCATTCTTCCTCTTGAGTCAGCAGGTAAAGTATGTGGCTGTGGCCTCCCTTTGTCATGCCACAGGGCTGCCATGCTTGGGGGGCCAAGGTCCTCGTGCCAAAAGCATAATGTCACCCTGCTGGAATCCCACCCACGTGTGTCGCCGGGCAAAGTCTTTTCTGTTAATGGATGAGTAAAATTTCACCAGGCTTTTGTTGTCATCACGAGGTAGGTAAGAGGGATTTGCATCTGAGCTGGCACATTTTCCATAATCAGTTTTCCAAGGCTAATTTAAGTCTGCCTGGCACATAGATCTTTCCTTTGAGCGGAGGCTGAGATTCCGAAGGCTCACAGGAGTTTTCCATAGGAAACGCCACCCTGGGTATCCATGTGCCAGACGTGCCTGTTTGGCATGTCCTGGACCATCAATGACCTACTGTTCTGATGCAGGATTGTGGGAATACCTTGCTGTGGAGCTGGTTTTGTGCTAGAAAAGTAGGAATGAAAATACTCTGGCTGTGGTCAGTGGATTCAACACTCCTATCCCTGGAAGCATTCAAGGCCAACTTGGATAAACTTGGAGCAACCTCATGTAGTGGAAATGTCCCTGCCCATGGCAGGAGGTGGAATGAGATGGACTTTAAGGTCCCTTCCAACCCAAACCATTCCATGATTCCATGATGTAACATCCTTCAGGAAGGTTCATGGGCTGTGGCTGCCAAGGAAAGCCCCCAGACCTGCCCTGGAGGGCTTTGAGCAAACCCCAGAGGGAGAAGAGGGATGTGGTTGTCAAATACAAGGTACTGGTTTCTTTTCCAAGCATGTCATGATAGATTCAGTTCATGCTACTTGTGTTTCTCTACAGGACGTGCAGCGAGGGGATGTTTACTCTGATGAAAGTCTGGGCTTGATAACAGGAAACCAAGTCCTTTGTGCAGTAAATTGACCTTGAATCACACACAGACCTTTTTTCAGTAACAGAGGGTAAGACTGTCTAAAATACAGGAAAATGGTGTCCCTAGAAAACAAAGTGGCATTTGGAGCTGGCGAGAATGTGCCCAAGGCTTTGCCAGCCTCAGCTCCCTGAATGTCAGCGCGAGCAGGTGGGGCCTCGGCAGGAGAGCCGGGGGCACAGTCGCCTTTTGTCCCTGAATACGTCTCCTTCAAAGTTCAGCCCAGCCAGTAAATGGAAGCTGCGTGTCCCTGTGGGTGAGGAGCAGCTCTGGGATGTGGGAGGCCTCGCTGTGGGGGGGTTCAGTGGTCTGGGGAAGGATCCCTCCCTCCCACTCCTCCCCACACAGAGAGTGCTGGCCTTTGGGGCAGGGGCCACCTCAGGAGCCCTGCAGGAGCTGCTGGTACAGGGCTTTGATCTTGTTGGATGTTTCTAGGTGCTTCCTCAGCATTAATAAAAAGTGTTACAGGATGCAGTCCCATTAACATCCAGTCATTCCAGAGTGAGGGAACTCTGCTTACATGCAAAAAAAGGTTGAATTTTTTCTCTTTACTGTTCCACCCTGGCAAGTGAGGCCTTTGTTGAGCTCTGCTCCCACATCTGCATCTGTCCTTTGATACAGCTCTCCAGGTATGGTATCACAGCACAGGTTGGGTTGGGAGGGACCTTAAAGCTCATCTCATTCCACCCCCTGCCATGGGCAGGGACACCTCCCACTAGCCCAGGTTGCTCCAAGCCCATCCAACCTGGCCTTGGACACTTCCAGGGATCCAGGGGCAGCCACAGCTTCTCCCTGGCAATCTGTTGCAGGGCTCCACCCTCACAGGGAACAATTCCTTCCAATATCCCATCTATCCTGCCCTCTGGCAGTGGGGAAGCCATTCCCTCTTGTCCTGTCCCTCCATCCCTTGTCCCCAGTCCCTCTCCAGCTCTCCTGGAGCCCCTTTAGGCCCTGCAAGGGGCTCTCAGGTCTCTCTGGAGCCTTCTCTTGTCCAGGTGACCCCCCCCAGCTCTCCCAGCCTGGCTCCAGAGCAGAGGGGCTCCAGCCCTGGCAGCATCTCCGTGGCCTCCTCTGGATTTGCTCCAGCAGCTCCACGTCCTTCCTGTGCTGTTCCTCAGGAGTGGAGGCAGCTCTGCAGGGGGGTCTCACTTGTGTGCAGCAGAGTGGGAGAATCCCCATCTTCCAATCCCAATAATTCCCCCTCATTCATTGCAGAGGGGGGAATTCATTGCAGACTGGATCTCATCCAGTGAAGGCAATTACCTGCCGCTGGTCATTCCTCTGAGGCCCTAAAATCCCACTTCAGCAGGGTTCTGGTGGTTCCT